AAATTTCTAAGGTCCATATTTGGCGAATGAATTTAAAATAACAAAAAACAATTGAGAATAAATCGGCATTTCGTGTGTATTTATCTTATATAAACTAAATTTGAACTTAAATAACACATAAAATAATATACATAATTTGGCTTTACATAAAACGTATTTTTTTGATTCTAATTAAAAAAAAATAGGATTTTTTAGTAAAGTCCTAGTGTTAAAATTTGAAAATGTTTTGAATTTGGAACATTAAAATTATTGGAATATTTCCACGATTTGGAATTGTGCCAAAAATTTTCATTATTTTTAAATTGCTGCAATCTTGTTTTAAATATCATTGTTTTACATTGTTTAATAAACATTATATCGTACATAAATCKAAAAAAAAATGATCATTTTATTTTCCAAGAAAGTAGTATAAGGATTTCCAAAATATTTTTAAATTTTTACTATATTATACAGAAAATACAGCGTATTATGTGTAAAATGCAAGTTTCTAAAGGTATTCATTTTTAGATTACAATAAAATAACAAAAATGAATTTATCTAAAATTGTAAGTAAAAATTCGTGTTTTTTCTTCACTTCCTAATACCGATAAATGTTTTTTTTTTTTTTTTTTTATTTTTATCTAAAGATACCCGACCATCAGAAATTTACGGAAATTGATGATTTATCATTTATATTGCTCCGAAATGTGATGTCAGACACATATGTTAATACACCATAATAAAATACTCATCAGAATCTATAACCAAATGTCACATAGTCTAGATTTTCTAGAATATCTTTAGATAAGTCTATAATATTTGAATATTTTTCTTTTTACAAAAAATGATGCATCGCTAATATAAATATCAAACGTCACAGTAGTAGTGCAACCAGGGGGGTTATGTTGTGATTCCCTCCCGAAATGTTTTTAAAAGTCAAATTTCAAAGTGAAGATCCTTTTTTTGTCAATTTTTTTTTTATKTATAACCCTCCCCAAATATCCTATAGTTGCGCCACTGCAACACAGTGTCCCCATATTATAATTTAACKATATTAGTGATCTTTTAATATAGGTACAATCGATACCTGACAATATATATTAAATAATATTATATTAATATTTAATATGATTTATATTTTGTGTATTTTATAAATATTTATAAACCTATTATCAGGTATTAATCCGGGAGATTTATACGATACTAACACGGCAGTATTCACATGCTCTTCCGGTAGCGAAACCGATACAATTGCGATTTTTGACGAATCGAAATTAGGATTTGCTATAGTTGGTCACAACAAGGCCATGCAGGCTAACAGACTTTCATACGTTTTAAATTTAAACGGTGAGTATAGTCTACTGTGTTTTACCATTTTGTGTGACTTATTTATACGGCTTAACGAGTGTTTAATTAATTATCGTCGTGTTTTTAAACATATCTATTATTTTTGGAAAATACTATGTCTAATCGAAAATGGTAATACATTTCGGCCAAGAATCATTAAAATGATTTACTGTCTCATATATAGGACCTAGTTTCACRATATTAACATCATTCACTGGTGGTGTGGACGCAATAGTGATGGCTAAGCACATGATTGAAAAAGGTCATATCAGAACTGCGATAATTGGAGGTTGCAATCTGGTGCAAAGACCCAATTTATCACTTCAATTGAAAGGTTTAGGTGTTCTAAACGACGGGATAGAGACGCGGTCGTTTAGTGATGATGGTGAGTTATTTATTTTCAGATAGCACCAGTTAACTCTAATGATTATCCAATTAACTACTAAACGTATAGTTTATGATATTATATAATGGCTTAATATAAATTAGTTTATTTCTTAATTTTTTTCCTTAGCAAACGGCTTCAACAGGTCTGAATCGTGCGTGGCCATATTACTACAAAATTCTTTGGACGCAAAACGATCATATGGTACAATAATGAGTGCAAAAATGGAACAGTATGGAGACCTCAGAGGAGTATTTACTAATTACTCCACTGAACGTTACAAACAAATAGTAATGGAGGCATACGCAGAAGCTGGAATAGATCCTGCTAACGTGACTTATATTGAAGCTGATGGATGTGCAATCAAGGTATAATTTTTGTAATTTTTTTCACATAATCTCTTATCTTTACAAACGGATGCCTATAGTATTTATTTTAATTTAATTTCAGAATGTAGATGCAATGGAGTTAGACATTATAAAAGATGTATTTTGCCCTTCTCATCGAAAAGAACCATTGAAAATCGGTTCGATAAAAAGCAATTTAGGCCACACTGATGCTTCAGCTGGTCTTGTATCGATAGTAAAATCAATCATCGCAATGGACACCGGTTTTATACCTCCTAATATAAATTTTAACACACCAAACAGTGGATCAGATGCTCTTACATCTGGAAAAGTGCAGGTAGTTAAATTTAATTAAATTAACTTTTAATAATAGATTATACCTAGAACCACACAAAAATATGATATTTTTTCAACCAAACTATACGAAAGTATTAATAAAATACTTTTTTTTTCTGTGAGGCAAAAAATAAATATTAAATTGCATCTTATTCATATTATGTACTTTATTATTTTGTACGCTTATTTAAAATATATTACCGCGGTATCACGGTATCTTGGTACCTATTCTTTTAGATTGTCACAGAAAAAACTCCATTAAATGGTGATATCATAGGATTAAATATTTTCGGTAGAACTGGAAATTATGGTCATGTTATCATGAAAAAGTTTAACAAACAGAAAAAGAGAATATATGCAAAAGACGAAATGTTCGATGACGGTTTACCGAGATTAATTCTTGTTTCTGGCCGTAGTGATGTTGGGGTTAGGAAAACAATAAAAACGGTATGTTTTAATAAGATATTTAAAGTTTATGTAATGAACAAATGTCAAATGATTTTTCAAAATGTTTGTATGTAGATCGAAAGTTACAATGTCGATGAAGAATACACTTCATTGCTGCATAAAGTATACTCCAAAAACATAAATGCGCATTTCAATCGAAGTTTCTTCATCATTCCCACGCCGGGCCCGTGTAGAGAAAAAGACGTTTATGTAAGTTTGCTTAAACTTAAAATATTTTATTTTTTTATAGGTGCCTTTTTAATATTTATGTCAATATGTGTTTGTTAGTCAATTACAAATGAAAAACCTCCCGTGTGGTTCGTATTCTCTGGTATGGGGTCRCAATGGTTTGGTATGGGTGCGCAGCTGTTACGAATACCAATTTTTGCCAAAGCCATTGAAAAGTGTGACAGGGTCCTGCGGCCGTTAGGTGTCGACATAATGAATGTTATAACGAGCCTGGATCCATCGTTGTTTGACAACATCATAAACTCGTTTGTTGGTATATCGGCGATTCAGGTATGTAAACGGTGAAAAATATTCTAAAACCTAAATAATTGAATCATACGAGTAGCTTCTTTAGGTATAATGGTCTCATGCAAAGCATGGATTTTGGAATCGAAAATGAACCCTCTTCTATTATAGCATTAGTATTCATTTATCCTATATTCTTATTACTTTAGTAAATATTTATTTACATATAATAGTCAGCTTGAATGTTGGTTATTTATTTAAATTATATTTTAAATTTTAGATTCTGAGCGGTGTGATGAATATATTGATTTTACAATGTTGTGTGTGACTGTTTTTTTTATTTGTGCTCATGTACACGCTAAGTTGTCGAAATAATGCTTCGATTTTAAACTTCAGAAGCTTATCTGGTTGGAAAGTGAATTTAGTTAGTGTATTGGGGAGGCGTGGTAGTTTTAAAAAGCACCGGGAAAAACAAAAAAAAAAAAAATAAGGAAAAACGGAATTTCTACGGAAAATAAATTTTTTAAGAAAATCGATTTTAGATATTCGTGTAACTCTGAAATAAATTACCGTAGACAT